GGAAGTAGGATTCGTCACGTCATCACGTAACGACCGGATAGAAATGCAATCTGTGTAAACTTACCTGTCACTGCAATGTGAAAACTGGATGCTGTCAACTTTGTCCTAAATGGGAAAATATGAGAGACAAACGTCAGCACAAGCCTATTTCTTATTTAGTTAGCGTTAAACTGTATTTTCAACAAATTAAAAAAAGTCAAATAACTAGTTCATCTCAGACATTTTCAATTACAATTCCACATTTCATTGACAAGAACAATATTTGTGACAAATCATTTCAAATCCACCTTTAAAGTTGACTACTATAAGAGCAGCTTTGTATTTTTCACATTTCCAAATAGATATTCCTATTTTTTATTTATCCTCTCAATTCCTCCTCTTTGGCTGTCTTCACAAACTGAAGGTCTGAACAGCAGCTGATGCTCATAAACAGAGCAGTATGTCTGGAATAACTATATCCACTCTTGTTGAGATCATACACAGGCAAGAGTGGAAAAAACTGTCTGAAAATGAGCACTGTTTGTGCACATGTTGTATTTGTTATTTGAAGCATCTGTGGTTAGAAGAGTATATACAGGACAGAAAATAAGGAAGATATTATAGGTCTGCTTCAGATGTTCCTGAGGAGGTTAATATATGGTTGAAAACTTCAGAAGCCAGAATGTTTTTTTGCTTTTATTGTTAAAATAAATCAAATGGAAAAATCAAGAGGAGCTTTCACTGAAAAAAATAAAATAAAACTATATCACAAACAGTAAGAAAACTACAGCTACAGATTTGATCATTTTTAGTAATATTATCAGAAAACTAGCTCAAATCTTAAACTTGTTCAATAAGCCAACACAGTGCGCTTGGATTAAAGCTGTTTTTGTAGTAACTAAATAATAAATAAATAAATAAATAAATAAAAAGGGCTCTACGCTGACTCACCGTATGGGACTCAAGCTCAGAGATCTTTTCTGGTTGGCCTGAGCCAAAGTAGTAAACCCTGATGATGTGGTCTGTGCTTCCTGTGGCGAGGAACATACCACCTGGATGCATATGTTTTTAAAAGAAAGAAAGAAAAAAGATCAGGGTAATATTTGTTTCACATTCATTGGTTTACCTCGGGGACATTGGTATACATTAACTATTTGCAAATGTGCGTGCTTTTGCAAACCAGTCATTTCTCTAACCCTTAAAATAGAAATACCCACAAAAAACAGACCACAGTCATTCCACGTTTACTGATAAGGAGCAGCAGCCACACAAGCGGTGACGCACAATGTGTGCTGTTCTCCAGTTAGTCTGAGTGAGCATCGTGTTCTGTTTCTCTGTCAGTGCTCTGGAAGCAAGCATAAAAACACCACAGTGAGCTGTGTTCACCTGCGCTGAAGGAGGAGCAGATCATCTGGACGCCGGGTCGAGAGCGCTCTGTGAATTTACTGGGCCTCTGACTGGACACACACACAAACACACACACGAGAACAAAATTGTTTATAACACAATTTAACACAAAGAACTACCACCTTGTGTTTTTAATAGAAAATGTTTTACATTCTGGCGTCTTGGCTGAGTTTGGCGTGCTTTACATACTGCACCTAAACATTTCTAAAACTGCCCAGTTGGCCATTAAATACAGTGACAATTATAAATTCATGTGTACCTAAGATCAATACAATCTTATAGAAATCTACAGCATAGGATCAATCTTTTACACAAATAAGCCTCTTTCAGACATGCACTTCTTTCCATTCATCAAAATGTATCAACTTCATGTCTCTTTTTATAAAACAAAAAGACCGTGTGCGACGAGTAATTATTTCAGTGCAACACATGCCTAAACTGCAAGCAGTCGAATTTACGTAGTAAGATTACACCGCACTGACTTCCAAGGGCGTGCACGGGTTTCTAGCCAGTATATAGAGACCCATTAATGAAGCACAGGCTCTCTGCATCGAGTAGCAGAGACAATATGGGGACAAGGTTCACAGAGAGGTAATATGAGAGTCAGGAACAAGCCAGTGCAGGTAACAATAAGGAAGAAGATGCAGGAGGCTCAGATCAACTTCTAAAAATAAAAATAAGTCTTTTTACTCCACTGAAAACTGCGTGTCATCTCATGCCAAATATCGCATCCAAACCATGGCTTTCTACATCGCAGCTGCGCAATTCACTGAATGAGGCCGTGAGGAGCATGAGCTCAAAAAGTGACCTTTATCTGAATGACAGAACGCTGTCACTTACAGATTGATGAGGACAACTGTGTCATGTATGCCGCGTCTGAAAAGGAGCTGCAATGACGTGCTGACAAAATGCTTGATGCACAAAGTGTGAGAAATGTTTGTGCAGGTGAGACCGTGTGTTTTTCTCACCCGAACTTGAGTGTCCGTGCATCCCACTGCCAGAAGCAGATGGTGCCATCGGCTCCGGTGGAGGACAGGTAGCGCTTGGAGCCGCTACAGAGAGGAGAAAACTGCAAACACAACCAATCAGAGGTTAGCGGAATGAACAGAGGACAAAGACACACACAAACACAGTCGCTCTCACTGGGCACTTCATTAAGTATACCTGTTTGGCTGCTTCTTAAAGCAAATATGGAATCAGCGAATCGCATTGACGGGCTACAGCAGCAGAAAGACTACATGAGTGCCACTCCTGTCAGCTACGAACAGCAAACTGAAGCTACAATTCTCATGGGTTCACCAAAACTGGAAGAATATTGTCTGGTCTGATGAGCATCAATTTCTGCTGTAACAACCAGATGCTGGGTCAGAATTTGAAGTCAACCCATATTCTGATGGCTGCTTTCAGCAGGACGATGACACAAAGCTCCAATCATCTCAAAGTGGTTTCTTTAACATCTCAGTGAGTTCACTGGCCTCAAGTCAGCCTCCACAGGTACCAGATCTCAATCCAGTAGAGCACCTTTAGGATATGATTTTTAATACAATGCATGTGCAACAAATCCGCAGCAGCTGTGTGATGGTATCACATCAATATGGACCAAAATCTGTGAGGGATGCTTCCAGCATATTGTTGAATCTCTGCCATGAAGATTAAAAGCAGTTCTAAAGGCAAAAGAGCATCCAACCAGGAGCTGATAAGGGTGACTAACAAAGCGTCCAGTAAACTAAAAGCAGTTGCACAGATAAAACTTGACACAAGTTAAACTGTGTGCTGTAAACACAAAAACATTTATACATATATATATATTGCCTGTTAAGTAAAAACTTTCAACAGTAAAATGCAGTTTGTGGTGGCTTCTCCCGGTCTGTAAAGAATATGAAATAAAAACAGCTTTAAAACAATACCTGCAGTGAGGTGATGGAGGCTGCGTGTCCCTCCAGGACAGCCAGAGGAGCGCAGGTTTGTAAGCACCACACTCTAATGGTCTTGTCACAGGAGCCGGCGGCAATCATTGTGTTCTCATAGCTGACGGCCATGTCGGAGATCTCGGCAGCGTGGCCGCGCAGGGTTGCCAGCAGACGCCCGTCATCTGTCCCCCAGATCTTCACGAGACAGTCGTCTGAGCCCTGGGACAGAAAGAAAACACCACCGCACATGAGTGACGATTCACATTTGAGATCAGCGCATCTGCTTCTGGGGAAACGGTTCCGGGAAGACAAATTAAAATGTGAAGTTGAAGAAGATTTCTAAAATCTATCTGGGCACGCTGCAGAGCAGGACTCAGCAGATTGGCAAATTTGGAATACAAACAGAGGAGAGAAGGAGACTCTTGAAATGTAAAAATAGATTAATGATTAATTTGCTTTTTGACAAAAAAGCTACAATGAACATCTCAAGGCACTGACGGTGCATTTGCATGCACTGTAACCAGCTTATTATTAACCAGTAAGGAGAAAAAGAGCGCAGCTGGCATGTAAACACATTCCCTGGCTAATGTTATCAATGCAAAACAACAGTGAGCACTGCCAAATGAACACGCACACTGTTACTGTGGTCTGAGAATATCTTAGGCTGATTACATTTGACTCAGTAGACTGAGACTGGATGTGATGACACAGAGTCGACTGTTAGAACGGA